TATTCTTTCTCTCTTTAGACTTGTAAAAAAGCAAAATATACAATATCCATTCAAATTTTGAATATGATTTAAATATTCACTCAGTTTATTTATAAATAAATACACCCTTAATTATTTTATTGTGCCTGGCAATAGATATTTTTCCAAGTGACATTATCAAAAACAAATATTTGAATTTTGAAGTATTTTTTCGTTTGTCCCCACAACCTTAAAAGTCCACACCTTATCCAATGTTGTCCCCATTAAGTGAACCTTATCACATCACTTGGATATTTCATTTTACAAATATAAATTCTGTCAACTTACCCAAAAAAATATAAAAAATGTTATGTTAGCTTAGCAGACCACAGTAACACTTGGTTTTGATGTGCCTACCCTTCATAAGTTTTAGGGAAATGTTACATTCCCATTACGGTACCATTTTATCGATTGTTTTAACTATTAAATTCACGTGTAATTATATAAAATAGATGATCCAACGATTAAAATATTCGACGGGAAGTACCATAACGGGACCGAGTTTGTAAAGTGAAGAAAAAAAAAGACATTATAAGCTACTCTCACAAATTATTCACTTTAACCCCGTGTTTTAAATACCGGTACGGTAATATCAGTAATACTAGATACCGGCCATTGGTACGGTACAAATAAACCCAAAATACTGGATTTACGGTTATACCGGTTTGTACCGGGATCATACCGTAAAAACCGCAAAATACAGGTCCAAAATACCGATTAATTAAAAAAATAAAAAAAATAAAATATTTTAATTTAAAAAAAATAAAATTTAAATTGATAGTTAAAATATTTTATTTTTATCTCATTGAAAAGTTGAAATTAATGATTATGGTCATTTATTTTTTTTACTTTAGTGCATTTGGTATTAAATATTTGTATGTATATTTATATATATTATTATATTTGCTAATCCGATAATACCACCGATATTATCGGTCCAACCGGTAATACCGCGTACCGGTGGCTAGACCGATATGACCACCGTGGTACGGTATTTAAAAATAGCAGACACGTGGACGGCTGAGGTGCCATGAAATTGTCATGAAAGAAACCTTTTTTTATGAACCTAACTTGTAATAATATAGTCCCAAGTGGGTAATAATAATATTATTATTATAATTTTTTTGTAATAGATAATGATAATAAATTATTAAGCATGATAGAGAGGATTCTTTATTTATGTTGGGTGGATAAAATGGTCGGCCATAGCGTATCTGAGGAAGGGTTTTCTGGTTTGTTGGCCAACTTTTTTTCAATTTTTTTTTTTTTTTTTTTCAACTGAGTTTTGCTAGCTTAGCTGAAAACCTCTCCCTTTAGCTTCAGGTAAATCTTGAAACCTTTATCTGGTCTTTCATGGCTGATACATATATGAAGATTTTGAACTGTGTTTTGAAGTACAGAATAAAGAAAACTACATGCTTAGATAGTTTGTAGATTGTGTGAAAGTGGGTTGAGAGGAAAAGGGTTAAATATTTGTTAGCTGCGAGTTATGGTGAGATGAACCAGGAAATTGATCTGTTTTTCATGTTGATGAAGTCTTAATTTGCTCGAAAGATCTGTAGATCTCTTGTAGATTGTTCCTAAACAGTTAGTTTGCTTGTGGGCTGTAAGGGATCCCAGATTGATTCCAATGGAAATGTTGCTGTGCTAAGTTTACTCTTAACCGTGTGAGCTTCAAGATCCTTAGTTCTCTCTTGTTCTATGTGTGTGTGTGTGTGATTTGTAAGTTATCAGGATTTTAGATGTTAGAAAGTCTAAGAAATAACCTGACCTTGTGTAGAATTTGCAAGCATTCGCTTAAGATTCGAAGGCAATCACAGGTAGAGGATTATCGGTAGCAGAAACTTTTGATACTTTTATCGACTTACAATAATGTGGTGCACTTTTTTTTTTGTTTGCTAGGCACAATGCAAGGAGGAATCAAAGCAATCTTCTCCTCGAATGGTGGTCTTCTCAAGAATGCTATTCTTCGCCATGTCCGTGTGGCTCCACCAGCCATGACGAGGACTCCGATTTTCGCACGCCACGAGTCAACCTCTACGGCCCGTATCGAAGAGCACGGTTTTGAGAGCACCACAATTTCTGATGTTCTGAAAGCCAAAGGGAAGGGCGCAGATGGGTCGTGGCTCTGGTGCACGACTGATGACACTGTGTATGAAGCCGTGAAATCGGTAAACAACACACATCTTTTTCTTTTTTTTTTTTCAAATTATCTTTCGAGATTTTGGATTAGGTAAAAATACGAGTCTGACGTTTATAGATAAGCATTTAAGCTCTTTTTGGTGGTTTTTTCTAATTATCCAGGTGTTGTTTGTTTGCTTGTTCTTCCGTATATGCCCCCACCGTAATCTTGATGTTTGCTTTCGTAATTTTTTATGCGGAAGATGAAAATGAGATATGATCATGAACATTTTTCATTTTTTTTTTCTCGGTCAAATGTAGATGACTCAGAACAATGTTGGAGCTCTGGTGGTGGTTAAACCAGGGGAGGAAAAGTCTATTGCGGGAATTATCACTGAAAGAGGTGTACATCAGTTTGTTCCGACTTGCTGCTGTTAAGTTGCTTGCATTAGGCATTTTATAACCGACTATGATGACTGCAAAATCTTGCATAACTTACCATTTGGGGTTAAATAAAAAGCTTTGTCCCGAGTTTTTCGGTTAAATACGTGAGAAACCTTAGAATTTTCAAGATTGTAAATGGTGGTTGCTTGTCAGATACAAAAGATGCAAATGTAGAATATAATTTGATTAAGCAATAATACTTGCAACACGATCACAGATTAGCAAAGCTTCAATCAGTGAATTAAATTACTTACATTCTATGGTGGTCTAATGCTAATTTGTTTATGCAATTTGCAGATTACCTCCGGAAAATAATCGTCCAGGGAAGGTCATCCAAGTCGACAAAGGTTGGGGACATCATGACTGAAGAGGTATAATAAATCTTTTCACAGAGGAAGTTTCATATGGATAATTTTGTCGGGCGAATTACAATAATTATTAAAAGAACAAAAGAAAGCAGTGATGTTTCCAAGTTACAAATGGGTCTAACATTTGGTTGCCTTAGACCGATTGGACGATTTTGTTAGATAACAAAAATCTTCAAGAATATCTTCCCTTGAAAGATTGTTGGAGCTTTTTTGCAGTTTGGTACAATTAATAAAAGATTGTTGGTACAAAAATCTTCCGGATAGTTCGTTCTTCAACAGGGATACAAAATCTTCAATGAATCTTTAACAAAATAAATTCATCTCAATGACGACAAATGGTAAATTTGCCTCGTGCATTTTATAGTAATCTCATAAGTTACTGAACTGTAAATATTTATGAACCAATTGCAGAACAAACTTATTACCGTCACACCAGACACTAAAGTTTTGAAAGCAATGCAGCTGATGACCGGTAAACCTTTTCTTTTTTTTCTTCTTCTTCGCCTAACATTCCAAGATTCGAAATTCTTTGAGCTTTTAACCGATTCTTGATTAACTTCCGAATCTGCAGATAACCGTATAAGGCACATTCCCATCATAAACGAAGGGGAGATGATTGGGATGGTGTCGATTGGTGATGTTGTTCGTGCAGTTGTGAACGAGCATCGAGATGAACTGAACCGTCTGAATGCTTTTATCCAAGGAGGTTACTGAAATGAAAACCGATGATGACGATAAGCAAACGTGCTAATGACTTTCGAGTCTTGTAAATATTCTGCTTTTTTTTTTTGTTTTTGTTTTTTTCATGCATGTTGCTTTGAATTTCCTGAGATATTATGTGTGCTTGGGGGTGAAAATATCTGTCTGAACTTCGGATTGGCAGTAATAATTCATGGTTTTGAGTTACTGTATATTTTATTTATTTATTTATTTATTTTTTTCCTTTGGACTTTTAACTTGCTTGTTAATTTAATTACTGTTAGTGTTGGAGCATACCAAGGATTGAGCAAATAATTTGATTTCATTAAGAATTACATGTTATTTTATTCGATTTTCGCTGGAATATCCGTAAAAAAGTATATGTGTGATCTAATTTAAAAGGTTTTAAAAACAAAATATTTAATTACAAGAGTTGAAAAGTAGTAATTAAATTGAAAAAAAACCTAAACATTGTGGCTTTTAAATTTTAATACAATTTTGCCTATTTCAAGCATATGGTTTTGATCTTAGGATTACAAAGTCAACTCATTTCATCAATATGATAATGAAGTATGTGGAGATATTAAATTATATTAACTAATAAGAGGTAAGTAGGACTACAAACAGCCAAGCCAAGTTGAACATTGACCTATCGAGAAGGATTGTTTTTTTTTTTAGCTGCTCGAGTTTGACTCGATAAAAAAGTACAATCACTCGAGCTCAGCTAGAAATTTTAATAAGTGGAAAACTAAAATTACCATTAAGCACCTGTGTTATATTATTATATTTTATAAGGGGTATATTAAGTAATTTAACATATATCTCGAGTCATTGAACGAGCCGCTCGACAATGCAAAATATAGGTTCGAGCTCGATTCGAGTTCGTGCTCGAGCCACTGGAGCTCAACTCGAGTTCGGTCAAACTTGAACTCCAGTCGAACTTTGACTCGAGCGCTCGCGAGCCGCTCGGTTTATTTACAAAGCCCTATATTCTTTGGTGGATATGGAAGACACGCAATTTGTGGGTCTTCGAGAAAGAACTGAGACCAGAGAATGCCACGGTTAATATTGCTTGCAAGGAGTGGCAGGAATTTATTAATGTCTGTAATTTGTAGGCTTTTTGGCTGGTTGTTTCTTGCTTTAGATTTCCTTTTTCTGCTGCTTAGAGTTTTGTTAGCCGACTAGGTCCTTCGGGTGCAGTGGTCTACTAATTTTGTGGCCCATTTGTACAGTTTTTTGGGGCGGGAGTTTGGATTCATCCCCGGGATCAAAGCTTTGCCTTTGCCGGGGAAGAGCGCAAACTTCTTTCAGTATTTAGGAAGACTTTCTTCCTCATTTGTATTTCTATGGGTTAGTTAACCCGCGAACTATGTATCAGCTTTGAGTTCTATATAACCTATCGTTTCGGAAAAAAACAAAAAAAGTACAAATATATTTGCCTACAATCTATTTCAAATTTCCCTCCATCAAATGAATGATATATGGTGTCACATATGATTCATTAAAAACAAAAAATAGAAAAAAAAAAAAAATTGAAATAGAAAATTTGCCCAATATTTCGAATCCAAAACCCTAATTGCAGAAGAAGGGCCCCTTTCGTGAACATCTGGAATTTGTTACAACCGCCGCGAAACACGTGTCCCTGATCTTTTTTTTTTTCTTCTTTTTCTTTCAATTTTTCAACTAATATTCATTCATTTTCTTTTCTCGTAATCACCAAAGCAAAGTCATCTTCTACGCCATTAAAGTAATAATCTCGAGCTTCAAACACAAAATTCCTTCCTTCTCTACCCTCTCTGAACCTACCTTCAGTTTCAGAATACGGATTTAGCACATGCAATCCCAATCTGTCTGCCTTGAATTCCCATCACGTTTCGAGAATTGTTCTCGATTGGTGAAGATAGTATGTGCTACGATGGTGAGCTGATCGATTGCTGGCCCCAACAGCATAATATGGAGCTTTGGTACGAATTTTCTCTGTACTGCGCCGAAAATCAGAAGTCTTATTGAGTTGGGGAAGGGAAAAAAAGGAGGAGAGCTTATTTTTGTAGAAGGCGGTGATGCCGTCGGGCATGGGAGCTACCAGCGGCGAGGGTGGTGCGGAGGAGACCTCGCCGGATATGCTGAAGAACACGCCCTCGAATATACGGAGGTTGGTCAACGAGATTGAGCAATGTGAGGGTCGGCAGAAGTATCTTGCCCACACACGGAGCCCCTCGGACGGAGGTGATGTTCGCTGGTACTTTTGCAAGGTTCCTCTGGGAGTAAATGGTTAGTGTCAATGGAAATGCTCTTCGTTTTCGCCTTTGTGGTGTTGATGATGAAGTCATGCTTGCTATATGGTTTCTGTCTTGTTTGTTGTTTCAGATTGTTTGGCATATGGTGATAATAGCTTATTTCGAGTGGTGAAACGACTTAAACCAGTTAAATTAACATGACTGTGTGCAGAGCTACTTCATTTATGGTCTTTTTGTTTAGCTGGTCAGGATGGAGGAGATCCATAGGAGATATAGTTTCTCTATCTGTTTAGTTGAACATAAAGGACCTCATCCCAATGCTTCTTAATAAATCCTACTGAAGCTCCCTAGGATGAAACCTTTAATTTAGTTATTTGCTTAAAAAATGAATTGACACTGTAAATACGATACGGAAGTTTAATTGCAATGGTACTTATTCATCCATGATGGGGCGTATCTAATTGTTTTTAATGGAAAACCTCTGAATAATTTCATTGCTTAGTTCCGCATCAAGAGATAGATCAAATGTAGTTTGGTTGAAGTTTCGTGAGTGGCTTAAGTATGTATGTTTATTTGGTCAATGTAGTTGTTATTTGTTCATGGGAGCACTTCTCGAAGAATTAGTAGAGTTTATTGATAATTTATACAATTCGGTGCTGCATTTGGATGCGATACCTAACCTGTACAGCTGACCTCTAGTATTTGATCCACATGTTATGAGTCTTGAAATTACTGTAGGATATGAAAGGTTCTTTATGGCTGTTTTGTTGAATGGTTGTTCTGTTGATAGTGGTATCTGCTGTGAACCGTTAAAATTCACCGGATACTCTCTTTATATTGTTCTGCGTGATACATGTATTTTGATGCGTTTCTGACAGAGGTAGCTGCATCAGTACCTCGAACTGAAATCGTGGGGAAAGGTGATTATTTTCGATTTGGTATGAGAGACTCTTTAGCAATAGAGGCTTCTTTCTTGCAGGTATTAAATTTCCTTTTAATTTTGTTCTTGCCTTCTGGTTTGTTGTATCGTACTTCTGTAGACAGAAAATTACTATTCTTACAAAGTAGTTTGTTAAGAAATGTATGCTATATTTACAGAGAGAGGATGAGCTACTATCTAGCTGGTGGAAAGAGTACGCAGAATGTAGTGAAGGCCCAAAGGGGCAGCTTATCATCAAATCCATTTCAAACCAACAGTTGTCTTCAGAGAGTCCTCAGGTATTCACTGATGAAGAAGAGAGAGTCGGTGTCCCTGTAAAAGGAGGGCTGTATGAGGTAGTCCATTGGTTGTAATACTCTTATGACATGTATTTTATTTTATGATTATTTTTACTTTTTTTTATCATTTATGTACTTGCTCTCCGTCTCTCTATTTTTTATATTATCACACATATCCACTTTTGCTTGAACAAGAAAAGTAACTTTCCTTTCCTATCTTGTTTTCTTGCCCAACTTAATGTTCTAGTTAGATGAGCTGAGTAATTTCCGAGGACCTACGAGTCTCACAAATACTGTATTGTATACCAGTCCTGATGTTCATTGAATGATTTTTGTTATCTTCGGGTGGCTAACATCAGGCAAAGTTTTTAATAGAACTCTTTTCGTTTCCCACCTTTTTCGGTTACACACATATAATAATTATTTATATATACTGTAATGTTCATCCCTATCTACAATCACCTTTTATTTTTTCTTATGAAAATTTGGATTTTTTTACATGATTTCAGTTGCAATAATTGTTGGAAGCTTGACTTTTGCCCCAATATTTTTCAGTTACACATGATTTTCAGCACATTTCAGCACATAAGTAATAATAATAATAATAATAATAATAATAATAATAATAATAATAATAATAATAATAATAATAATAATAATAATAATAATAATAATAATAATAATAATTTTCAGTCAATTAGTTGGTCACAATCTCTCAAAATTATAAAAATTATATTATTTATTATAATTTATGTCATAAATATAGTGATTCATATGTAACTTATGCAATTTATATTTATAATGTTCATTTTTGCAGAAGGTTAATTTTAAAATTTGATATACTCATTATTTAACTTATACTTTAAATATTATATACGCAAATATAATGTATAATATTTTATTTGTAATTGTGCATATGAACAGGATCAACTACTAGTATCTTTATAAATTGAACTCTCTCATTGTTTAGTTTCTGCAGTCTCGATTTTTTTAATACATCTCTTCGGAACTCCCCATACTTGGGCATAATTATTTTACGTAGTCTAACCTCTTGAAACTGTTATTACCATATAAATGCAGACATTTAAATATTTTTTCTTGCCTGTTCTTTACCCATCTTAGGTTCGTTTCTTTAATATGAGTGGAAAACTTTGGGATTCTCACAGTGGGTGCTGAGTTTTCTTAGCATTTGACAGAACATAGAATGTTGATAACTAATTATTTGCAGGTAGACTTGGTGAAGAGGCACTGTTTTCCTGTTTACTGGACTGGAGAGAACAGGCGGGTGTTACGAGGGCACTGGTTTGCTCGAAAAGGTGGCCTTGATTGGCTTCCTCTGCGTGAAGACGTTTCTGAGCAATTGGAATATGCATACCGAAGTCAGGTACTCTGGAACATGTGCTCCCATTTTTCGCTAAGAAAGTATTGTGAATAGTTAACTCATCTCCCAATAATAATTACTTGATTTCTTCATTGGTTCTGAAAGTCTTAGCAATTTTTACTGCCAATTAGGTGCAAATGTAACGGGCTTCCGATTAATTAGTGTCTTGTTTATCATCATTGCGTTTTTTGTTGCCTCCTTACGGCATCAGTTAGGGATAAGCAAGGCTCTCTACAGTTTAACTGATAAATCTAAGATCCCTTGCTTTCAGGTTTGGCATAGAAGAACCTTTCAAGTGTCAGGTCTCTTTGCCGCTCGTGTGGATTTACAAGGCTCAACAGCGGTATGGCCCTCTGCTTTGACTAAATATGACCTGTAATGGTTGTTAAGATGGACTGGTACTATAATGTGCTTCCTGGTTACAGGGACTGCATGCTCTTTTCACAGGGGAAGATGATACATGGGAAGCCTGGCTAAGCGTTGATGCTTCTGGGATATCTAGTGTTGTAAGCATTGGGAGAAATGGCATTAAGTTGAGACGTGGATATGCTCCATCTCAATCAAAGAAGTTAACACAGGTGATCCTTTGTACTTCTGCCTGTAGCTATATTTTCTGAGCATAGTAACACCAACATCCTCATCTTCACGACTAACTTCTGACATAGGCTTATGATGTGTTGGCCAATTTTTTTACTTTGATAAGTTATTTTGTAGTAATCATAATTTTTTTAATTTGATAAATTACTTCGTAGTTATCATACTATTTTCCAAAGATCACAATATACTGATGAATTATACTATGTCTAACTCAGTGATAATTGGCATAAATGACAATTGAGAAGGCAGTTTTCTATGCATCTAGACAATGTGAATAAGGTCTTTTCTTGTGTATTTATGGATCCCTTTTTGGGTGGGTTCAATGGAAATCTATTCCCTCAGGACATTGTCCATGTCTGTGAGCCTAAACATATCTTAATTTCTCATTGATGTTATTATTGCTATAACTATATTGTCATAACCCACATACTCAACAGCTCTATAAGTTTGTATAAATACCATGTCGTTGTTCTCGTAGCTGAATAAGTTGATGTGTCTGAGACTCTGAGCGTTATCTTTGTATTTTACAGGATGAATTACGTCAAAGGCAGGAGGAGGAAATGGATGATTACTGTTCACAGGTATGCTCAGTCTTTAAAGCAAGTCATACATGCATATGTGAACATATCCCCTGATATGTGAAGAAAAGGGAAATATGTGATTTCCACCATTCTAATATCATCTTTGTTTCTCAAGCCCATAAGCTCCATGTTTCTTAAAATCGTGTTTCTATCTTGTTCCAAGAAGTTGTAGGAAACGTATCAGAAAGATGGCATGTAAATATCTTTTAGGTGTAGCACATTCGTGGAATTTTACCGGAGATCTCTTACTTGTATGGATCAGAGTGATCTCCTGCCATTCATTTGATGGGTGGAGCTGTGTATGATTAAATAATATTAGTTTATTTATAAACTACATATTCTGAGTTTCTGACTTAGGGTCGAGAGAATGATGAATTACAATTTTATGCCCTCTTGGGTTTAGCCTTCAAAGCAATCTCACTACCCTGAACTTGGATTGTAATTTTTATTTCGGTTGTCTGGTCATTTCCATAAGAGTGTGAATTTTTCTATTCTGTTGTTGGTTCATTTATGTTCAATCTTTTCTTCTCAATTTGGCACGCTGATGAGGTCCCTGTTCTTAGGAAAGCATCTGTTTTCTTGTGTAGGTTCCTGTTCGGCACTTAGTATTCATGGTTCATGGTATTGGTCAAAGGTTGGAGAAGTCCAATTTGGTGGATGATGTTGGAAATTTTCGCCAGTTAACAGCAAATCTTGCCGAACGACACCTCACTTCGCATCAACGAGGCACTCAGAGGGTTCTTTACATTCCATGCCAGGTGCTTGTGCACAAATATAGTTTGTATTCCCTGTTATTTTGTACTATCTGTTTTTTTTTTTTTTTCAAATTGTAAACTTGCTTCGGTTGTGTTGGACTGGACTTGGGGAGGCCGAACTGTTAATAGTATCGCAAAAAGTTCAGCAAATTTGAGGTGTTTTTGCTTTATATGATCTGACATTGTATTGAATAATTGAAATACTAGGGCTTCTAGGTGCTAAGTAATTACAAAGGTAACACGTCTCATAACAATTAGTGACCACTTTTGTGAAATAGCAATATTATATATTACTGAATGCAGATTTGTAGGTTCAAAAGTTTCCTCAATAAGAATATTATTACTTTCTAGGAGTATAAGGTTTATTTTGCATCGAAGAAGAGTATATCATAAATGTTCATAATGTTCTTGAATACCATTTAAAGGTTTTGTGCTAGTTGAAAAAGATCGGAAGTTAGTATCAGAATATAGGCTTCCTCTGAGACAATGGGAATAGCCAACTCTTAGGTAAGTAGATCAGTGTCATGTTGGATGGGTAATGTCTGTTCGGGTTTTAGCCTAAAAATGTGCTTCTTGTAGTCCCCATGAGCGTTGTGGTGATCCAGATAAGTTCACTTTGGACAGATTTTCTGACAATAAGGATTAGTTGATTTAGCTATGAATTCTTAAACGTCGATGGTTACTGCATTCTGGATATCATGTTAGAATTTACTAATATGTGTTTGTCATTTGTTTCAAGATTCTGGAACTATAATTTTTTTTTTAGCATCTGTCTTTTTGGTTGCTATTTTTCTATTCTGTTGTAATCTTCTTTTTTGGCCTTTTTTGCAGTGGAGAAAGGGCTTGAGACTTAGCGGTGAAGCTGCAGTTGAAAAAATCACTTTAGACGGTGTCAGAGGGTTGCGTACCATGTTGAGTGCAACCGTTCATGATGTCTTATATTACATGAGCCCTATCTATTGTCAGGATATCATTGATTCAGTATGTCCCATCTAATTCATTTCCTCCATTTCTGTGAATTTTATACGTAATTTTTTCTCCAATAACTTTTTGATGGCTTGTGTTTTTCTGATATTATGTTAAGCTCTCAAATGCATATTAATTTGTAGCTATAATCATAATACAAGAAAATTTCCATTATTTCATTGTCAAGAAAAGGTTTACATTGCTTCATCGAGTTCGAGCAAATTCAAAGTACTCGCTAGCACATTTCTAAAAATCTCTGGATCATTTCCTACCTTATTTCTATCCTTCAAGATAAGATTTATTTTTATTTCAGATGGGTCATGGGAGCTATTCAACATAGAGATAGTCATATCCATCTCCCTGATCCTTTGACTCTAGGTGGTCATTCTTTATGTTAGGTTTCCATCCTCGAGGGAAATCCATGGGTTGTAATAGTTTCACTGTGTCCATTTTTGGAATCGTTAAGTTATGATTTTCTTCAACCGAGGTTACTGTTTTTTGAATTTTAAATTAATCATCCAAATGAGGTAATGACATCCACTTTTCAATTCTCAGTGCACATGCTTCTGTAAGTTAATTGAATGTGTTGTACATTTGAGGGGGTTAAGTACAAGTTATCCTCCTCATAGAGGAGACAAATGAAGCATAAAGGTGTAGTTTTGTGTGGTCACATAAATTAACCACTTCCTCACCCATAGCCCATCATGATTACCAACTCTAACCTGCCTTGGACCCGTTTACTCCTTCAACCCTGCTTTGTCAGCGACCCTGTAACATGAAAGTTAACATGAGGCTAATTACAATTTGTAGGATACCTTTTATGTTCCCTTCTTGCAGGGTTGTGGATCTGCATTGTTGCTTTTCCTCTGAAGAGGGTTTTTTCAGCTGACAATTTATAAATAAGAATGCCATGAATGTATCCCTCTATTACTGTGTTAGTTTTCCATTAGTGTTCAACGTGCCAGGCCAGTTTCTGTAAACTCAGCATCCTCAACTGTTCCGTGAATGGAATTGCCACTTGTTTTGCTATCCCATTATTTCTTGATCATCAACTTTATAAGGATTGTGAAGAAGTTGCTGTCTCTTGATACATTTGCAAGAATGAATATGCTTAACATCATATTAGTTAATCCGTGCAGAACTTGATTTGAGCTGACTTAATGATATGTTCTTGATGCATTCAGGTATCTATCCAACTTAACAGATTATATCTGAAGTTTCTTAAGAGAAACCCTGGTTATGATGGAAAGGTATGTGTATAGTTGGAAAAGAAAGCTGATCATTTAATTTGATCATAAATGGCATTCAAGCTTATTATTGGTATTATTATTAAGTTGTTGTTCCATTATGTATTATTCAGGTTTCCATCTATGGTCACTCCTTGGGAAGTGTTCTATCATATGACATCCTTTGTCATCAAGAAACGCTTTATTCACCTTTTCCAATGGAATGGTTATACAACGAACCCAATAGAAGTGAGGTGTCTTGTCCTGCAAACATTAACTTATCATCGGATGGTAATCTTATTTCGACTCCTGGGGACCACAGTTTGGTGAACAATGAAGTGGATAGCATAGTTAGCCATGCAGACAACCCGGAGTTACATGAGGAAAGAGTTGATGGACCTTATAACCAATTGGGTCCACCCACAGTATCCGAGTCAGAGGAATCAACTACCATTGATACTGGCTACCAGCAGATAATTGATGCCTCATCAGATGAAAAGTGCATAACCTTTGATAATATAGATCAGATAAACAATGTGATGAATGATGGCAATAGCATTAGGAATGAGGTTGTAGCATGTGATGACACTAAAGATTGTGAGGATGTCTTTGATAGCGACAAGGATGAGATTATCAAGTCATTGAGGGAAGAGGTAGTTCCTGTAACATGTGCTTGTTTATAGTTCAGGTTACGTTAATTTTCGTTCTCACTGTATCTCTCATCTTTCAGATTGATATATTAAAAGCTAAAATCAAAGAGTTTGAAGCTGAATGTGCTGACGAAGGTATAGATTGTGCCACTTCAAGATAGTCTTATATGGAGTGTGCATGTTCACTTTCGAGCTTTCAAGTTTCATTACGTCTGATGTTCTATTTCTGTTGTTACTCGTTACCTGCTGCAGTAAATGCCATGAAGAGCGCAACGGCAGTGAACCAATACGAACCTAATAGCATTCGACCTGGCAGTAGAGATAGATTGATGACTTATACTCCACTAATAAGATACACAAAGTTAGAATTCAAGGTGATGTTCTTCACTAATAAGATACAGAAAGTTAGAATTCAAGGTGATGTCCTTCTAATGATGACTAAGTATTATGAAATATCCATCTGTACATTTATGCATAGGATTTTTGTATATGGTTTTGATTTATCAATGAGGTTTGGTAAAGAATTCTTCAATTTTATCAATAAATTTTTCTCTCTTTCATTCAAAGATTGTCCTTTAAGGATTATTCCTACATCTAGAGAAGTGTTTTACACAATGGTAGTCTGAAGTTTTTCTCATGATATATTTGGGTTTGGATGTCAGGTTGACACATTCTTTGCTGTGGGGTCACCCTTGGGAGTCTTTCTATCCCTCCGCAATATTCGCATAGGCATTGGTAATTGCTTATTCTTGATAACTGATTATACCTACATTCCTTTTGTTGCTTCTCTTTTCAGTTCTCCTTCCAGAAAGTGCCTTAGGTACTCTTTATGTTTTATATATGAGTGTACTGGCTACATGATCAGTCACATTAGCTTCCATTGTTATCTTTTTGACATATGGATCAAAATGGGGTCGTAAAAGTTGTTGTCAAGGATACACAATTACTGCTCACTTGACTTGTTTCAGCTACTGTGATTATGTGATTTTATGGATGATGTAAAAACTCTTGGCTGTCTACAATCCAACCTACAAACAGTTTCCGAATAAATGTGGAATATTTGACTAAACTGTCTCCTGTTGTCGGGTGGCTAGGTAAGGGGAAAGATTATTGGGAAGAAGAAAATATAAATGAAGAGATGCCAGCATGTCGTAAGATGTTCAACATCTTTCACCCTTTTGATCCTGTGGCATATAGGTGAGTATTTTTGTACTTTGTTATCACATTTAATTTTCATTCCTTTTTCTTGCTAATCCTACGGTTTTCTTGCATACAGGATCGAACCCCTTATCTGTAAAGAATTTATACACAAGCGTCCCGTCATTGTTCCTTACCACAGAGGTGGAAAGCGGCTTTATGTTGGGTTTCAGGTACGGGTACTACATAGTCTAATGTACATAAATGTTGCTTCATCCTCTTACTCGTATTGCTTATACAATGTTGTACAGGAATTTAAAGAAGGGGTAGCTGCACGTTCTCAGGCTTTCAAAGATAATTTGAGTACTGTGAGAGTGGGTACACTATTGGTTGCGTTAATTTTTCCTTTTCAACTTTTTAACTTCCGCAACAATTTTTTTTTTTTCATGGACGTAGTCATCGTCAAGTATGTATCCTGCTCCTTACAGGCTCAGAATGATTTATCTTAACCGAAAACAACAACAAATTTTTTCTGAGAGTTATGACTATTGGTTAATCTATGAGTTTTATGTTTGATCCTTGAATAGGTTAAGGTGCTGACAATCTGTGAATCGAGATGCACTGATGACCCGGCCGGTACATCCATGCCCCTTTTCCCTCCTTTTGCTGAACGAGTTTGTGTTTGATGCTATTGCTATTATGATACGAACATTAGAAGCTTTTATTTAACAAGAATTAGCAATTTCTATCTTCCAGAGGAACCTGAAGATGTCCATGAAAAAGAAGAGAGATCATACGGTTCTGTCATGATGGAGAGACTCACAGGGAGTGTAGATGGGCGAATTGATCATGTATTACAAGTATGTGCTTTTGCCATTTCGAG